CAGTGGGTGGAGGCTTTTTTTTAACAAGTGCTGGGAGCTGAGACGGGCGGGGTAGCCATTGCTGTGCTGGGAGAGCAGGTGAGGGATGGGCCTGGCTGATTCAGAGAGTTGCCTGCAGCCAAATTCAAATTGGGACAGTGATTCGAATCACCAAATCGAATCACTGTCCCCTGAATCAGCCAAATCTGAATCCAAAGCAAATACTAGCCGCTTTGCACAGACCTACTAACTAGCTCTTTCTATATCTTCAAAACTGCCATGAACCATGTGTGCCCCCAGCAGCTGGAGGGGCATGGCAGCGGCAGAAGTGCAGCGGTGGCAGTGGGAGCACAACAGTGGTAAGCGAGGGAGCTCCTGCAGACACCACCAGAACCACTGACATGGCTGTTTGAGCGCTCGTTGCACTCAGGTCAGGTCCGGGAGGACTGGAAAAGGGCCAGTGTGGTCCCTATTTTCAAGAAGGAGAGGAAGGAGAATCTGAGTAATTATAGGCCAGTCAGTCTCACCTCCATCCTTGGAAAGGTCTTTGAAAGATTATGAAGGAGTCTAGTGGGAAAAATAATGCAGCAGGGAAACCAGCATGGATTTGTAGCAGGTAGATCATGCCCGACCAATCTGGTATCATTTTATGACAGGGTCACAAAATGCTTAGACACAGGAGTAAAAGTGGATGTCATTTTCTTGAACTTTAGCAAGGCCTTCGATACAGTATCTCATCCTATTCTCATAAATAAATTAAGAGGCTGTGACAGATGTTTACATGGTCCAGTGGGTGGCAAATTGGCTTAGTGGTCACACCCAGAGAGTGGTAGTAGGTATTGACCTGGAAGGATGTGGGTAGTGGGGTCCCACAGGGACCTGTACTCTTCAATATCTTCATCAGTGATGTGGATGTGGGTGTGAAGTGTACTCTGTCCAAGTTTGCGGATGATACTAAATTGTGGGGTGAAGTGCACACTCTGGAGGGTAGGGAATGATTGCAGGCAGACCTGGACAGGTTAAAAAAGTGGGCAGTACACAATAGGATGCAGTACAACAAGGCCAAGTGCAGAGTGCTGCACCTAGGACGCAAAAATATCCAGCACACCTACTGGCTGGGAAGTGACCCTCTCAGCAGCACAGAAGCGGAAAGGGATCTTGGAGTCATAGTGGACTCCAAGATGAATATGAGTCGTCAGTGTGCTATTCAGCAAAACTAACCGCACTTTATCATGCATCAGCAGATGCATGACAGATAGCTCCAAGGAGGTGATAATTCCCCTCTATGAGGCATTGGTCAGACCGCAGTTGAAGTACCGTGTCCAGTTTTGGGCACCGTACTTCGAGAAGGATGTTGATAGACTCGAGAAGGTCCAGAGGAGGGCCACTCGTTAGGGTTAGGGGCTTACAGGACAAGCCCTATGAGGAGAACCTGAGGAATTTCTGCTGTGGTAAAAGTCCTACTACACTGCCAAAATAAAAGTTCCAGTTGTAAAAACAAACGGCATAGTTATTCTGAATTAAGTGGATGCACTGAGAGCAATGTTCAGCAAGTAAGGATACAAGTATGGCCATGCGAGTATGACAAAGTAAGAAAGGTATGACCAAGATCTGTATAACTATGCCCAAGAGTCCTATGACATAGTTAAGATACTCATATTACTGATTGCAGTGAGATGTGTCAAAATGAAAACAATACTCAGCAATACTATAAACACACCCACCCTGAGCTACTGTCTGCTGGTGCTGTTCTGGGGCTGTATTGGATGAGGGAAGTGGTGTATTCTGATTGTGGAGGTTTCCCATAAAAAGAGGTGAGGGGCTGAAGTGCCTGGAGAACAGTCTTACCCACTGATCTAGCTAAGCTGGTATGCCAACCCATTACTGTCATTTGGATGCCTCTTTAACAGCAGTACATATTTATTTTTAGAGGTTAAACAAATCTGAGTCATACAAAAGTTAAATGTTGCCACTTGAGTCATTGACCTGTCTCTTGCTCTCAGTGGGAGCTGCTGGGTTGGGACAATGTTGAAGAACTAGCTGTTCCATTTAGGTTCCCATATAGAAGGTAAGGGTTTTTTCTGGAAAATCTGTTTGCTTGACTGGAAAAGGGGAGAGTTCCAACTCCATCCTTTTGAGGTCATGCCATAGACCAAAGGTCATCAGAGGAATGAGGACACAACAGGCATGTTCTTACTCAAATGTAGGCCTCAGCTGCTGCAAGATATTGCAGAAAAGAACCCTGGGATATCATCTGTCATTAGAGAAGGAGGGGACAAAAGACAAAGCAGCCAAGGTAAGTACGATTTTTCCTCACTGATGGGGTTTGGAAACAACATGGGTGCAGACAGACGTGACAATTTTTGCCCGATCTGGCCACAGAAAGCTGTTTATAGCCATGACCAAACAAGTGCATGGCTGCAAACCACTTCAAAAATGGCCAATCGGGTGAAAATCTGAACCCTTATTGCACAAGGGTTCAGATGAAGAAAACAGAGCCTCTTCCATAATTTGTCTGGGCTGCCTCCCAGTCTGTTGCTATTTTCAGAATGGGAGATGAGAAAGGAAGCGGAGGATGGAAGCAGGTGTATCTGAGTGCCCCCAAGGGCCAGCCAGGGAATCCCTAGAACGAGCTCTCTCTGCTCCCTTCCCTCTCTCCCATTCTGAAAACAGGCACAGGCTAGGAGGAAAGAGAGGCAGTTGCTAGGGAAAACCGACTGCAGGTTGGCAGTCAGCAGCTAGATTCCCCTGCCCCGTACAACCAACTACTGTTTTGTCTGGGGGATCATTGCAACTCGGAGCGCTTCCTGCAAAACATTCTCAGTTACAGCAGGGAAATGCACTTCTGCAGGGCTTGGAAAATGAAAGCAAGTGTTTGCTATGAAGCAAACTGTGAAAGTAAAAGAGTCTGTGTCAAGGATCCTAGCCAGAAAGGTTCTTGCATCTTTCAGCCATTCTAGACTGCAACATCATTCATATACCCCAAACAACCTAAATACTTCTAGAGCAGGGGTGGGCAAAATGTAGCCTGGGGGCCGGATGTGACCCGCCAGGCCATTCTATCCAGTCCGCAGGGCCCCTAAAAAAATTTAGAAAATTGATATTTATCTGTCCTGGGCTGCCTGTCATGAAGCCCTTGATGGCTTGCCAAAACTCAGTAAGCGGCCCTCTGCCCAAAATAATTGCCCGCCCCTGTTCTAGAGCCTTGCCTTCCACAGAAACACAGATTTGTCTTCCTATTGTTTTCTCCAGCCTTAGCAAGGTTAGATCCTGCCTGAAAGAATAGGAATATTTGAAAGAATGGGAATATTTAATTGTTCCCCTGCATTTAACCCGCATTTACAATTTTGAGGCTATCATAGAGGGTTTTTTTCAAAAAAGATGTGTTTTCTCTTTCCAGTCACTGAACAAACTGTTAAAAAGAGACAGTAAGACTGACAAAAGGAAAGACATGTAGCCCCTTAAAACTCGTATAGAGATGAGTTCTACATAAGTTGCATCTATGCAAATTCTGCAATGTAACCACAGATTTTAGGTATTTTTCTTACCTCAGTTCGATTAAAGTCCCTGGTCTGTTGGCTGACTGGCAATGACTCGGAATAAGAATCAAATAATGCACTGTCATGTATAGGCTTAAGGGAAGCTGAAGGGAAAGACAAAGAGACACACCAAACCTTTCATCAATAACACACACATTTTCCATGTACTCTATCATCATTTTGTCTTCCATCTCTTCATATTGCAATTGATCTATATATCAATGTGACAAGTACTGTACAAAAAATGGGTTTCTTTTGTATTTTTGAGAGCATTAAAATTAATGCCACGTGAAGATGTGCATGACTATAGCATATCTAAATAACAACAGTGGGACATTTGGTAATACTTGACCCCTAGAACAGTTCTGGCTGATATTTTATTTATTCTTCTCTGCCATATGACCTAATATATTTATAGAAGGCTTTACAGTTCATGTAATGGAGTGCTATAAAGGTAAAATATTAGCAGCAGGCCTTCAGCTCCCCACTTGGTCATCCAAAAGTGAAAAACCTATTAGAACCTACAAAAATGGCCGGCAAAAAGCTTAAATATTAATCAAAAGAAAACATTACTTTCATTCCAACCTTTGTAGTCTTCTACCAGACAAGCATGAAGAACAACCAATCAGTCAACCAATTTAATAACGTAATAACCACACTAGCCTTATTTCTGTGTACACAGATCCTTCTGCTAATACTCGCAGGGGTTAGTCTTTCTGAAAGAAACCTGTCTTAGCAGCTGGAAAAACCTATTTTATTATTAAGATCAATATACTGAAAGCAGAATAACCCTTTCACAGGGCCAGCTACTTGTTTTATTTAGTATCTTGCTCCCCCAGACAAATAAAGATTTTACAGATCATTCTTTTTAAGTTTGATTAGTAAATAGGGCTAATAGTATCAGAGATTTTTTGTTTCCAAGAAGCTTTCAAAACAAAAAACTGGGGGGCAGATTTTAGTGGAGTTATGCCATCTTCAAGTTTGTTCTTCATTTGTCATGCATTTAAAAAACCCATAAAAGCAGCAACATTAATTCACCCTCTAACAACTGAATCAAATGCAAAATATTGTGCTTGAAACTAATGGACAAACAACACAGACAATATTACACTTCAGTCTTATTCTGAGGTTGATATGTCAAATTAATGAAAAGTATTCTCCATCTTCAAGAGGCAAGGATTTTCTGTTATATCGTTTATTGGACCAACTGTGTAGTAGGAAGAGGCAGACCCTGGCTGAGCTAAGTAATTTAACTAAATTTAGCAGAGCTCATACTCATCTCTATCATCATTTTGTCTTCCATCCCTTCATGTTTGTACATGCCTCTTGTACATTTCCTGGACCACAACCCTACTTCAGTCTTTAAGACATTCATAAACAGACAAATAAAACCTTGGTTTCGTGTAGCAAACTGTATTACATGGTTTCTCACAAGAAAAAAATGGTTTCTTTTTAAAGAAAAGAAACTTTGTAGTTCAAAGTCAGTATTTAAGGAGTCTATTTCATATAGAATCCCATGCCCCGCTTTCCCCCACTATCAGCACCTCCTCTCCTTCCCTCCCTCCTCAGCAGCACATCCCCACCTCCCTGTTGATCCAGGAGGAGGAGGCTCCACAGTCACTCCTGCCCTGCTCCAGCTGGGAGCAGCATGCGGATTACTTCTCTCTGCCTTGTCCCCCCAGATGTTGCCTACCATCCTGGAAGCATGTGCAGAGGGGGGAACCTACCTGCCACCACCACTACAAGCCAGAACAGCTCTAGGGCCCTTTCCCCACAACCTTTCTAAACCACAGCTGGGAGGGAATGGGCAGGGAAGAGGAACCCACCCATTACCACTGCTATTCTCTGGAGTGGCTTTGAGCTTCTCTTCCACTCCTGCTCCAGAATGGGAGTGCTGCTGAGGATGGAGGGGAAGAGAATAGGTGCTGAGAGCAAGGGCGGGGATGGGATTCTTACTTTTTTGGGGACATAAAGTCCCTGCTGCCACTCTTGTGGCATAGTCTGACTATGCCCAGTGAGAGGTGGGTGGAGCTGGAAGTGGAAGTGCAGCCACAACTGCAGCACTGGTCATATGATCTTGGATCTGCCCATGACCCACCATACCAATTTTTTAATTTATTTTTATACCAATGTTGCTGGTCCAGAAACCTGTACTGTAATTCACAATTGTTTTTAATGCAGAGATCTCTGTTCCAAAAGTACAGGGTTATTGTGACTATAAAGTGCACTAAGCATTAGAAAAATGTTAGGAACCTCAACTACTGTACTTTAAGGTCAGAAGTATCACTGCTAGAATGAACGGTTAGCCCTTGTGGTTCATTTATACATATTAGTTTCAAAAGACTTTTGCATAAAAGAAATAAAACAGGAGGCCATTTAACAAAATGAAAGAAAACTGCAACTCAACGGGGGGACTCAGAACAAAAACAAGGAACAAACAGAAACATTTGAAAAAAGAAAATTCTCAGGTGAACCTGCTTACTACATTCCCAGGAACACCATGTCTTCCTACACCTGTTACCAGTTATTTCTATTGCAGTAGCACCCAGGAGAATTAATCATGATCAAGATGCTAAAGCACTAAGCACCGTACAGATATATACAGAAGGACAAGAATCTTGCCCTAGAGGAGATTACACTAATTTAAGATGAGTTTAGAAGGGAGCATAACAAAAAACAGGTCCTGGACAAAGGAGGATAAGGTACCAGTCATAGGGAGGGATCCTGGTTTTCCCTGATTAAAAAAAATCCCCAATTTTGGGTTAAACCCCCCTCCCCCAATCCACATTCTTCCATGATTAAAATGAAACACCACTAACACACACACACACACACACACACACACAGTGGTGTTTCATTTTGATCATGGAAAAATGTGGATTTTGGGTTACTTTTTTTAACCTGAAAATTGCTGATATTTTTAATTCAGAGAAAACCAGGATTCCTGATCATAAGGACATAAAATTACAGAGGCTAATAGAATGTACAATTGGAAGGTGGCTGTTTCACAATATGCCCCTATACTTGGACTTGAATTGTAAAAAAAACATATCTTTGACAGAAACAACTGCAATGGACACTGAAATGTCCTAACTACAGCTTGATTTCCTCTTTTTCTCTCTTTTAATGGTTAGTGCCAGCAGGCTGAACAGAGATTTTATTAAGTCTTAAATATTAGCACTTAGAATTGTAATTATTATCTGTGATTAATCTTCCTCATCCTAGAAAGCTGTGCACATTTTTAAAAAATTGAATAGTACGTAATTCAGGGTTCATGTATAATTACATCATTGAAAAGAATGAATAAGAGAACATGTCTCTCAATTGCACCTCATTAATAAGGAGCATCACACTTTTTGGACTCATTTATCCCTGTCCCACAAAAACTGAAAGAATCTCTGCAATCTCACTGCTGTTATCATAATTAATTTAAAGTGGAAATGGTGAATCTTGAAAAGAGAATTACAGAAAATTCCAACTAAAATGTCACGTGCAGCATTAAAGATTCACCTGAAGTACCATCTGTGTGCAAAGAGTGCTTGGCCAAAACACGCAGGAGGTCATTTATGGTTGCTGTTCTTCAGGTCTGGAACTTAACCCTGCCCCTCTGAGGGCCACCAGGGCCCTAGCCTGGCCATCTTTCAATAGTGTTGTAAGACATTTTTATTCATATGTTATATTTATTCATATACTAATGAATGCAGAGCTCTTGAGACAGTTACAGAAATATAACAGGCTCACCTGTTTGAAGATAATCTGGCAGTAGTGTCTCTGGCAGCTTGTCTGGTAATGGGTAACCATTCTTCCTAGCAACAATGAGGTGAAAGGCAGCACAGAACTCTGCTAGTGTCAGCGCTCCATCACAATCAACGTCACTTAGTTCCCTGAAAACACAATATTCACTTGTTTCCAAATCCATTACGGAAATGAAACGTACACAAGCAGACACATAGCGGATATAGGAAAGTTGCCTTTGACAACGGTTAGCTGCAGAGAATTTTAAGAGAATTTTTAAAATGTCATTGTTAAACATTTATTCTAATTCTGAATGTAACAATTTCCAGGCATGATGGTATTTTTTAAAAATTGTGATTTTTAAAAATGCCTCTTGGAAAAGTGGAGTATACTGGCATTCTATTGAAAAGATTTATTCTATGAATAATGAAGTACTTTGTACAAAATCGTACAATATTTTCTATCCAGCCTTTCAGACCCAGAATTTGTCAAGTATTTTCACTTGAGTAGCCACGTTCAATGATGTTTAAAATAGCTTTAGCTGATTTGTGCTAATGCTTAAACAATTTTCCACACTGGTTCAGGCAGAAACATCAATGAAAATGGGTCTCAGTAAATATTTAAGCACATAGTATAGACTCGCTGTAAAAGCTGAAAAGCTGAATTAATTACTCTTGGCCACAATTTGAAGTGCCCATCACCACTGTTGCCTAATTTTACAATATGTGTGGAATAACAGTACTCAATCTCAAAAGACTAAGAATATGGTTTCATGAACTATACCTTCTGAAAAATATAAGAACTCAAGTACTGTTAATATAAGGGCTAAAATGGAGCAATATAAAATTTACCATCATCTGAAGTTTGAGTCTTTCAAACAGTCAATGTTATATGGAAAAAGATTGAAAAGCTTTATGCTTTTAGCATAAGGGGCAAAGCCAGATAGATTATATCATGTAATGTTTAAACTAGCTACTAGAAAATAATATCCTCTTCTAAATCCTATGCAGAAAACAAATGAAGTTGGTAATGTGTTTTGTTATCATTGTGAGTTAACCAGTTTTTCTTAAACAACTTTTAAAATTAAATTCCAGTCCTCATTTTCCCCACGGGAACATTTCCTTAAGCTTTCTTTTTATTTTCATGATTCACGGCTAGATTTGAAAGTGTTCCAGACAGTTTCTCTGATCCCCAACAGATGTTTACATTCTTGCAAGATTTTATTAGCATCTATCTTCAAGAAGAGTAAATGTAAAAGTAAAATAAAAGGCTCTCTTTATCAGTATTTTTAATAAATGCATAGAATAGTTTGTTCTTCATATCTAGATAAGAGGTTGATACTGAATCACAGCATTATTTTGTTTACAGATATATAACAGAATTTTTGTAAATTTTATTGTGTACAATCTGCAATGGTGTCTAAGCAAGCTAATGAAAAGCAAGGGTGCTGTCTCATTAGTAAAGCACTGATGAATTATGCAGCTCCATTTATAAAAAAATAGGTGTTAATTAGGCCTCCGCTGACAAAACTCAGCCAGAAACATAAATCTAACTAAACACAAGAAAAGATATTCCAAGTGTGTTTTCTCTTCTACACCATTTCATGAACTATGTCAGGGTTTTTTTAGCTAAGCATGTTACTTACAATATTCTTAAGAACAGCTCTCATTTATATTGCTATTTAAATCTCTATAGGCCTGCTGAGTACAAGAGCATCTCTAAAGATAACAAGCATACCATAAGATCAATGCACCCCCTGCTGTTTGGGCCTGAAAGTGATTCTGCAGATATAAGCAATAATCACAATCATTCTAAGACGTGTTTCTAATCAAACAAAAACTCTTGAACTAGGATCTTTTACACACACACACACACACTTATGTTACTGTACTCACCATATGTGAGAAAGCTCTGGAATAGGAAGCTTCGATTTTGTGAAGAAATTCTTAGCCACAGTACCTGTCAAGAACCATTCCTTATCAAGCAATGAAATGAGCATTCAGTATTCATCTACCTATATCCATTTTTTCTTAGGTTTAGTTTTACAGAGAAGTAAGGCTGGAAGGGACCTCAGGAGATCATCTAGCGCAACTGGGGAAGGAACCTGAAATCTTGGTGTTATTTGCACCATGCTCTAACCAACTGAGCTGAACAAACACTATCTGGTGCAAAGCTGCCACAGCAGCTAGTTAGTTCATAAATCAACAGCCACTCAGCTCACTGGGTACCAATATGGCTGTTTGGCCATTTGTCTCCTGGCAAGTAAGTAATCTGGGAAAGTCAGGCAGAACTACTGACCTCATTCCCCCATTTCTCCTCTCAACAAGGGAAAAATTAATAGATGAAAACATGCTTCTATATAACTAGCAATCCTCAGCACCATTATGCATGCATGCAAAAAAAGGAAAATTGAAACGCATGGTTTTCTTCTCAAAGATAAGCTGGCTCTATGTAAGCACCAAGTACAATGGGAAGCAGAGGGCTTTGCATGGGGTGCTAGCAGTGCTTTTCTCCTGGCTTACTTCCATAGTGCCTTTCCCTGCTGCTGAGCCTGGCTGGAGAACCTCTGAATCCCAAATGCAGTGCAAGAGTAAGTGCCTCAGACGAACAAGTCAAACGGCCTTTAGTTAAAATGGGTGGCTCCTCCTTGCCAGCCTAAGTTTTAGTACTGATAACAATTCCTTTCACAAAAGGTTGGATCTGCGCATTCAGTGTGACAATGCGATTTCTGTGAGCTCTTACACTACTTTTACCACATATGTACTCTATAGGATTTACATTTAACCATTAGGTATGTCTGTACCACTTCCATAACATGCCTGAGAGCACCACTGAGAAGTACACCCACAGAAACCTACTTATGCTCTGTTTGCACCAGTCAGAAACAAAGCAGGGAAGTTACCCCAGGGGGCCACACACCAATTCCCCCCCCCAATCTCTGCTGCTCTCAAGCTCTCTTTGTCTGTCCTGCTAGAGAGCAGTGACAGGGGAGCCCTAGGAACAGCTTCACTACCTGTGTTTTTCACATGTGGAGTGGAAGTGTGGGGAGAAAGGAGTATAGTCCCAACCTTAAGGACCAACTGCTCAACGTTGCAGTGCAATGGGCACTGCAGCCTGTCTCTGCAAAACAGTTCAATATGTGCTTTACTTTAACCCCATGCACAGCCCCATTGACCTTAATGGGGAAGTTAAGCACATGCGTCATTTTCTTCTAGAGCAGAACAAAACGCAACACTTTACAGGATGCAGTTCCAAACACTGCCTTTATATTCAGACAGCTTACTCTAATTATTTTTATCTGAGAGTAAAATTGTGCCCCATGAAGGCATGTATTTTCCTGAAATCCCCACTGAATATTTAGAGTATGTTTCTATTTTGAAAAGAGAGCATGTAAAACTATCTTCTCTGTCAACAGGTGTATTCCTAGAATTTATATCTTCTAACTTTAGGGACGAATGCACATCTTTCTGCACATCTAAGAGAAAGGCAGCTGGACTCTAATTCTCCCAAATGCATCTTCAATTGCTTTTGCATTTTTAAGTTCCAAGTAATTACATTTGTGTCAGCTTATTAAAGACATTTGAGTTGCAGAAGTGTAAGTTAGGGCAGTACTTAGTCCACAGAACATTTATTTCTGGTAATTATACACAAGGAAGAATTAACCTTGCTTGATTCTCAGATTCCAAAATGGGTTTTGCAGAGCTGGCAATTAAAAGAAAAAATAATTTTATCTGTAAGCAAAGAACATCTGTTATTAAAATAACCAAGAGACAATAAACTATACTTTATTTTTACAGAGTGAACCTTGAGGCAAAACATGACTTAAAGAGCAACAACAAGAAAAATCTTCACAGAAAAGATGTTATTCACTGTATACTTTAGTTGCTCTATTTATTAAAAAGAAGTAATCAACTGTGACAAAACAAGCTAAGTGGCTGAATTCTATCCTGCACTTCTTGTGGGAAGCATTTTGGGATGCTCAGTGGGAGTATGTTTTACTATGAAACGTTCCTGAATAGCTTCATACACAGGACACCTATGTTCCCTTTTCACCCCAGGGGCAGATGGCAGTCTGGGTTAATATTATAGTCTATGGGTTAATACTGTGGTTTTGTAACAGTTTTGTTGCATCTGTGGCTGTCTGTGCAGGAGAAAAAGTAAGGCTGAGAGAGCTGGGGGCAGAGAAAGGGTAGTCCCAGGGAGGACAGATGGAACTGCAATGACACAATAAAGACTCTGTTTGGAGTGGAGCTGTGGGCTGTGCTATTTGGGATATCCGCACTTTGAACCTCCCCCACTTTGAAGTGGGAAATACCCAACTTTCAAGGAGCTGAGTGGGGTGGGACTGCTACAGCAGAAGCCAGGGTCATAGAAGAGCCAGGTCCTTGAGCCAGAGGCTTGCCCCTTGAGAGGCCATACCATATGATCCTTCAGGAGAGGGAGACCAAATAACACTTTTTGGGGAATCCCAAGGCAGATCTTCCCCTTATACAGGACGTGTTTCACAACATCAATTCTATAGGTTATAAATCTGATCCAAAGAAAAATTAATGAGTTTTCACTTTTTCTACTGTACCTTTCATGTCTTTCAGACTGATCTTTCTGCTACATGTAGCTATTATGTGGTTAATGTTACCTGAAATGAAGGAGTTCAGGTCAGGCTGCAGGGTTTTGAACTGGTTAAGGTAATAGTCTCGCTGTTCTTCAGTTATCCTCCAGGGGTCATCTGAGTAATTACTGCTGCTGTCCTGTGGTTCCTTTTCTGCTGAAAGAGACTTCAAAAATAGGGCAAAGGGTCACTTTTAGAAGTAGGGTAGGAAAAGCAGCATTCTCCAAAATGTTAAGTCAGATTCATTCTGCACTTCCAGGAGGTTCATTTTTAAACGGCAGGCAGGAAGAAAAGTTCAAACCGATTATTTGTTACAGCTGTAGCTTACTACAAGTACCCCTGGATCAGACAACTACAGGAAGCTTTACATGAATGAAGTGAAATTTAAAAAAACCAAAAACGCTACTACTAATGAAGGTAGACATGCCACTCCAGTAGGTCAGTCATCTTTCTCAAGATTTCATATTGACATCGATCACAACCAATCGCTTAGCACAAAAGGCTGCTTGCAGACATTAAAATAAAAACCAAAAAGCCAAAATGATCCTTTACTTTAAACTTGGTGCGTTCCCGTGCCAAGCCCACTGCATTCCTAGAAGAGGCAGTGCTTTAGTTGGACCTGGCTCACCCAATGTCTGTATAGATCGGTCGCTTTAGTGAGGCTTCTTTAGTGCATTTATCTAATAGCTAATTCAAATCAGCCATTAGATAAAAGTGCCAAAAAGCCCTGGTGAAGCACCTGTTCTATACAGACACTGTGCAGCCGGGTCAAAGTAACACACTACTTCTTCTGGTAAAGTGTTTTGTTTTGTTTTTTTAATGTCTGCAAGCAGCCAACTGTGCGGGCCGGCTCCCGGTCCCGTCCTCGCCGGGTGCAAGCCCGGGCCGTCTGTGTGCACGCGGGCTGTGGCCGGCAGCCCGGGCATGCGGGGCCGGAGAAAAGTCGCGGGGTGGAGTAGTACGCTCGAGCTAGAATCAGTCACGGAGGCGTAATGGTTGATTGAAAAGATTATTTACTTACACTGGAGATGGTCGCGGTGCAGGCTGGACAGTTTCC